GAACATTGTAATGATTGTATTGAAGATGCCTATCATTACTTTATTGTTTGTCCAAAATATACAATTCCAAGAAATGTACTTTTTCAATCAACACATAATATTATAAACTGTGACAATATCCCCTATAATGTGATTTATTGTTAAATGGTAGTTCTAACCATGGACTTGACATTAATATAATACAAATATTTGAACTTGTACATACATTTATCATGTGTATATAGCAACTTCAACTTGTATGAACAAAACGTATTATACCAAACATTGTCATATACATATATATAGATGTAATTTTTATATGTTAGAAATACTCCTAAACCGGTACTACTTTGTATTTTGCATTTTCCCCCTGTTATTTACCTTTTTTGTAATTTTGTTCATTCTTTTTTTTTCTCTTTTGTACAATTTTTCTTTATTCAACTTTTTTTCTGTATTTTTTCTATGTTACTTTGTTGATTTTTGTTGTTTTTTCCCCACTTTTTTCTTCTACATTCTCTTATTATCATTATTTGTTTAGTACCTTAACCTAAATGTAGGGAGAGGGCTAAAATAGGCTGCGCCTGTCACCCAATTCTATTCACAAAAACATCAGTGAATAGAATATTGATTTAATCATATAAAAAAAATTTTAATGCATGCGCGGATCTATAGTGCTGGGGATCGGGGATCCAGACCCTCTGAAATTTGCAGAGATATTAAAGTGATACACAAAACCAAGTAAAAAGTGACCTATGACCCGCCCCCACCCCCCGAAAGGGAGGCCCCCGGGAGAACGCGGTCCTGATTTCCTGATTTGAGTTCGTATGTAAAGTAATAGGTATAAAATATTAGAAGTGTAAAGATTTCAGAAATTTTTATTAACACCCCCCCCCCCTCCACGAAATAGGGCTTGTTAAAAAAAATTATGTATTCTGTTAAACACTACCTCCCCCACCCCAAAATAGGACTTTCCTTTTTTTGTTGCTTTTTAACATATATTATAAATTAATTATTGAAAAAATTAGCATGTATTCTGTTGATTTTAAGTTACTTAATTATGCTGGCTTGAATTCATGTTTGCTTGTTGCTTGAATATTTGGTGTTATATTATCAAAAAGAAAGTACCAAATGATGCATAAAAATACCAGGTTAATCTAACAAAATATGAAATTTCCATTTAATAATGTGTAATTGGATTACTTTTATACACGTTTAACATATTAAACATGAGGGGTGTCGCCGCGTCACAATTAAACATCACGTTTTAAAATGCATTTTGTTAAAATGAAACAAAAAGACAAAAACATTGTCCAATAGCACAATACTTTTAAGAAAAAAAAAACACACGACATTTTCTAGTCTTTAGTTGTAAACAGAATAATCATTGTTGTTTTAATATTCTCTATTGAAAAAAGGATATTTCAAAATAAAAAAAAAAAAAAAACAAAAGAAAAAAAAAGCTAAAACGAGCTTTAATTGCGTTTTGTTCAAAATGGGGAAATCGCGCGTAGAGAGAGTCTCGATTATTAGTCAGATACACAGAGGAGATGGTGTATATAAGAGACTTGTTTATAGATGCTTTAAGCGATATTTAGCAAGTCATGTGTCAATGAATGATCAGCAGAGGACAAGAAGACCGAAAAATGGGGTTCGGGCGGAAATTTCAATGGTGTCTGACATTGTCCAAAAAGAGGGATGTGTTACGCTTAGATATTAAAAAAATAAGTTTGTCTTATGATACTGCTGTATTGCATCCAATATTGAAATAACTACCATTATTGAAATAGATATTTTAATAGTGGTTGAGAGTATATTTCAGTAACAAACATAGGTTGCAACCACTTTCGAAATACGACCACTATTGAAATGATTATTTCAATAGTGATTGAGAGTGAGTGCATTTCAATAATAATAATAATAAAAAAACCCATAGATTGTAACCAATATTGAAATAATACCACAATTGAAATAATTATTTCAATAGTGGTTGAGAGTACATTTCAATAAAAAATATAGGTTGCAACCACAATTGAAATAATGTTCAATTTGTAATAAAGTTTTCAATCATGAAAAAATATAGAATTTAAAAGTCATTGAACTATCAAAAGTGATTGAGATATTGTTTTCAATAGTGCTTTAAACAATTATTCTTAAAGATATTAAAATGACTTTTAAGTTGCTGACAATGATTTCAATACCAAAACCAAATTGCCGGCTTTCTAGATGTATCAAAACTATTCAAAGAAATGTAAGGATGAAATACACACCCTGTTTTCTAACATTTAAACAAATTTCTATAGTTTAAGATAGGATAAAATAAAGTTGCTTTGTGTTTTCCTTTTTTGTAGAGATTTCAATTTATACTCGGACTATTTTTATTAAATATACCTACCTATAATTCAAACATCTATGCAATTGTTATAAGCAAGCTTCCACAGTATCTGGCCGAATCGGCGAAAATCAACATACATATTTATAATATGCAATTGTGAAATAACTAACTTATATAAAGTTCATTTTTGTCATGGATTTTAAAAGGTAGGGCTCGTAAAAAATACATGCAGAAACTAGAATATCTAGACTAAATTGAAAAGAAAAAAAAAGAAGACTGATATTTTTTTTGTACAAAATTCCTACTGGAAATATGGCTATTTTAAACAAAAAGTGTATATAGAAAAAGACGAAATTGTCGCTAATATAATGCGATTACCTGCACTACTAATATACATGGTAAATCCAACGCTTCCTCGTCAATACATTAAAAGCTAAATTTCTTGGGAAATTAGTAATAGGTTTGTTACAATGCTAGGTGTTATCTCAATAGTGATTTAAAACGTATTTTCAACTTCATTTGAAATAATCATTCACAAGTAGGTTTTATTTGTATAGTAAATTTAATGAAGGAATTATAAATGTCGGAGAGCATAATAAACAATTTAAAATCCTTATGTTTTTCAATAGTTATTTTATATTAAGATCAGAACAAAACTGTAGAAGGAATAGTATTATGAAAGTATTTCATAGAAAGAACAACTGGTTTTCTAGGAATGAAGCACAGAAACTGCACACAGGATATCAGAAGTAGGGCATACACTGCATTAGCAGGAGTATCAGTGGTTTGGGATCCTCACTAACATCATTTAATCCAACTCCTAGAAAATGCTCAGCGCCGGGCAGCAAAGTTTGCAACTAGTGACCACTCATCAAGGGATCCTGGAAGTGTGACCACCATGTTACATTAACTCAGTTGGAAACCTTCAGAACATCGGATGGGCCCGGAACCGCGTGACCATGTTCTGCAAAATTTACCATCGCATTATGGACGTTCCGGTACATCATGTGCTACATATCCCCACCAGCAGAATTCGTGGTTCTAAGGCAAACAACATCCGCCAAATCAGCACCAGGGTTGATGTCTACAAATACTCGTTCATACCAGCAACTACCATAGCATGGAACAAGACACCAGCCACAATTAGGAATCCTCGTTTTAGAAATTGTTCAAGGCACTATTGGTAACCTAACAACCAAGCTATATGATTAACATGATGACTTTAACTTTTCTATCGTAAACTTCCCTTACTTATGCAGCAATATACCTTCATCACCTGCATACGGAGTATATATATCTCAGTTTATTCGATATGCAAGAACATGCTCTACGTATGAACAATTTCTAAAACGAGGTAAATTATTGACAAGCAAGTTGACGAAACAAGAATATCAGCAGTCTCGTTTAAAGTCATCATTTCGTAAGTTCTATGGTCGATACAATGACCTTGTCAGCAAATACAATTTATCATTGAGTGACAAAAATTTGCGAACTCGTTGAATAACTTTCATTAAAGAAATGATAAAATGTTACGTCATCTACTGGTTTGTTGCCAATGCTTTTTTAACTTGCCAAAATTTCTAAAGCTGTTGGTTTAATTATCTTCTGTGATCCATTTCAATAAATCTATGAAAGTTTTTGTTAAAATTGACTTTTTTTGTTATTAAAAACACCCTTAAGTATAGCAAATGAACATGTTAATTTTCAATTCGATGGACATGCATGTTATATTTTACATATTTTACTTACATTCACCAGTATCAATATGATTTAGCGAATTTTAGTGCCATAAAGGTTGCACATAAAATAGTAGCACATGATATAATTTAAATTATATAGATAAATATTAAAAAAGGCTAAGTCAATTGTCTGATACAATTTGTCTTTATACACCCGTCTTAAAGGTCATACTTCAAACCTTGTTGGCGAAAAATGTGCAGTTTGATATCTTTGATATTAGAAATAGACAGATATTTTGTTTCCTTTTCCAACAAGTTTCTAAAAATTGAGTTTCAGGAAATTTTCGGTCAATCTTTTGTGTACTAACGTAATTTAACTTTGAATGCTTCAGAATGAAACATTAAAATTCTGCCAAAAATCAAAATAATATATTAATCAATTCATGTTCAGAACATTATGGTCGTCCAAATAATTACTGCATGTATCATGAAACTCACAAAACATTGTGACACTATTCAACAATAGTTTTTAAAAAAAGGAAAATGCGACTTCAGTACATAAAATAAATCACTGACCAGTATGAATATCATTATCAGCATGAGGAAATAAATATCGAAAATTCCATTCTATAGGCATACGACATTATCACAATGAAAGACAGCATCGTCATCAAGTACTAAAATGAAGGCAAGTAAATTTAAAAGAAAGTTGAATATCTTTTTTTTTTTCAAAAAATACTTCTTTTGAGACTATAAAAAATAAAATCAATAAACGAAGGTATTGAAGTTTTTTCCTTTGCCTTCCCAACTGGAACCGGGAAGAATATAATGTACATACAGACGTATATGTATGAACATAGTATGAGAGGTTTTAGATATTTGATTCACTTGTCCGGTCTATTTCAATCGGGACGGGGGTGTCCGAATAAATGAAGTGTCATTGAAATTGATTAGATCCCCACAAAATTTCTACTTTTTTCTTATTATATAATAAGGAAAACATGAGCTACTTTTAAAATTTCATCTTTATTCCAATCTATTCTGGGATTCTTTTATGAGGGGATTGGAATAATGTCTGTTTTCTCATATCAACCACGTCTTCCATAGCACTTGCACCTGAATCTTCTACGCATCGGACAGTAGACTGAAGGGGCGCACGAACCCCCTAAGTATCCTTTTCTCTTACAACTTCTCAAACATAGGCTGTTATCGCAATTCCTCCGACATCTTTCACCATACCAGAAACAGGAAACAGGATCCATGACCATCAACGACAGAAAACAAAACAAAAGTAACGTACTGGTCTTCATCTGCAAAATAAAAAATATATTTTTAAAAAGTGAACACTTTTCGTTATCTCCATATGTTTCAATGGTCTTTGTTACACTTAACTATTAAAATTTCTAAAATAATTCAGAATTTTGGAAAGTTAATATATATACGAATATATACATTTGTGGTATCTCTCTATTATATAAACATACGGAGAACAAATAGGCCTATCTTCAATTCTGTATGAAGTTTATCTGAGGTCAGAGGTCAATACTTGACCTAATCACTCGGCGCAATAATATCTACCGGTGCATAAATATAAAATGACTTGCTCTACTTGCTTTTCATGAATAAAAAATGAACAAAATATGCAAGTAAAATAATAATTATTTTATTTACAACCTTAACAAGTATTTTATATAGTTTTTTTGCCATCGATTTAACCTTTGTAAACATGGAGAATATAGAAATTAGCTTTTGTTTTATGTCACTTTTTTCAGCTGTACAGTATCTAAAGTTTATCCTTATTTTTGGGGTAGAATTTCAGTTAAATCTTCATGATAAACTTTAATATTTTCATCAAATTCTACTCACTATAAATGTGTAAATCTGTTGGAAAATATCAAAGCATTGCAATCACGCCACGAACAGCTGACAAACACCTCGGCGCTGTCGTAGATCAATGTAAGCTTTCGCTAGTGTCCTCGTCTTTTGTTTACGTGATAAATATGCATTTAGTTATTGAAATCGTAGGTTAAAGTTTTTGATCTTAAATACTTGATTGCAAATTAACTGACACGGTCAAGTGTTTCCATCCATCGGATCATCCATCCATTTCTGGCGACCGAAATTCCTCCAACTTTTTAGGCCTATCACCGATCTTCGGACGTGTTTCTTGTGTCTTTTCAGCATTGACTATCAAGTTTCATGAATAGAAATATTCCCAGACAACAATTTGTTCGCAATTAATGATCACAAGTAGCCTTTCACAAAATAGTCCCTTAGAAATAAAATCAATTTGAAGCGTAACCGCCATTCAAGCCAATTTACACCTTGCGTCATTTTTCAAATTCTACGACGGACAGTTAGTGCAATAATTTATATTCGAAATTATTCAATCGTCTGTCTCAAATGTATATATAAGTAATAAATAACAAGTTTATAAACTTCAGTGGGAATTGAAGTGGGTCGGTACTTGATCAAATCTTCTGAGAAGGCCTTCGGCCTTCACAGGATTTAATCACGTGACCGACCCACTTCAATTCCCAATATTTACATTCACTGTGTTTTTCTACTAAGCTAACTGTGAAATTGATTTGAAAATCATTTTCGTGTATACTTACGCGTAGGAATATACACGGAGAAACGTGCGTTACCGTGACGTCACAATACGGCAACGTTAGTAAAAGTATAACAATATAGGGCAACGAGAAATTCAAATATTGAGTATATTTTCGGTGCTTCCAAACATGTAAAATGTAAATATAAGGAATGTCTTTAAGTTTAGTGTGAATTATTGGTGTGAGAATCACACAGACTTGCACGTAGGCATATTTTTCATGAAGCGCTAGCGCGCTTCATGAAATATGCCTACGTGACAAGTCTGTGTGATTCACACACCAATAACTCACACAAAACTTAAAAACATTCCTTAATTGAAGTTTATAAACTTGTTATTTATTTCTTAAGTATTAGATCAGATTTCTAAATTTTACAAACTCAAACTGATTTGGTACAGCAAAACTCGTTTAGTACGAACACGGATATTGCAAATTTACGATTATAGCGAAGTCATCTGGAATCCTCATCTATATAACTTTAATGAATTTCTTATACGGATATAATGAATTCCGGATATAGCGAAGTAATTTCAGAGGTCCCTGTGACTTCGTTATAACCGAGTTTTGCTGTATATTGAAAATTTAATATTTCAAATCAAAATTCTAAATTTTCAACTTTTTCAAACATGTTTTAGAATTTTAATATTTAAAATGTTTTACCTTAAATGTTCAAAATTTAAATCTCCCAAACCGTTTTTGTACTAAAAACTTTTTAGTTTTTAATCTGCGGTTTGTTTAGAAAGTTTACACGTAACAATCTATAGTTCAGTGACATTTTTCGTGTTTGATTATTTAAAATTATCTTTGAACTTCTGAATTTAACTTTTGAAACGTTTAAGAATTTTAATAAAATTTTTAAAAGTTTAAAAAGTTTTATTTTGATATCCAAAATATCCAATTTCCAAACTCGGTTTGATTTTTGAATATAAGTTCAATATTCTAACTATCTAAAAGCTCTTTTGTTTCACCAGAAGAGTTTTTGAAATTGTTTAGAAATTTAAATCAGGTTTGGAGTTTGATATTTTGGATATTTTAAGTAGAAGACTAAAAACCAAAAATGTAAACGTGTTGTTGAGTATCTGAAATTTGAGTGGTTGAATAAAAGATCTAAACTTCTAAAAATTTAAACATTTGAAAGTTGAAATTTAGAAATTTGAAGTAAATTTCAAATAATCAAAAGACAAAATATGTTACTGAATATTAGATTGTTAAGCGTAAATTTTCTGAACAAATAGTAGATTAAACTCCAAAGTTTAAGATGCAAAATTCGTTTTGTGAAGAAATTTGAATTTTGAACTTTTATGGTAAAAATCTACAATATTAAAGTTTTAAGCACTGTTTATGAATTTGAAACCCGGTTTGATTTTTGAATATAAGTTCAATATTTTAACTATCTTAAAGCTCGTTTGCTTCTCCAAAAGGTTTTAAAATAGTTTCGAAATTTAAACCAGGTTTGGAATCTGAGATTTTGGATATTTGAAGTAAAAGACTAAAAATCCAAAATGTAAAAGTGATGTTGAGTATTTGAAATATAAGTGGTTGAATTAATTATAAAGATCTAAATTTCTAAAAATTTAAAACATTTCAAGGTTGAAATTTTGAAATTTGAAGTAAGTTTCAAATAATCAAATCACAAAATATGTTACTGAATGTTACTAAATTTTTGATTGTTAAGCGTTAATTTTCTGAACAAACAGTAGATTGAAAACTCAAAAGTTTAAAATGCAAAATTCATTTTTTTTTTTTTGGAAATTTGAATTTTGAACATTTAAGGTAGAAATCTACAATATTAAAGTTTTAAGTCCTATTCATGAATTTGAAAGTTTAGGTTTTTGAACAAAATTATTTCAATATACCAAAACTATTTGAGTTCTTTGCAATTTAAAAATTTGAAATAATATTCAAACATTCTAAAACCCTAAATCATTTTGAAAATTTGAATTGTTAAGTATCAAAAGGAACTTTATTACATTACTAAAATAGCAGTGGACAAAATAAATCAAGAAATGCGATCGTTTTCATTTACAAAATAAATTCTGCCTATAAATAGCCTAATATTTCAATCAAAGGTAAACAGAACTCAACAAATAATATAGATGTTTTCATCTACACAATGAGATTATAATTTACAACAGAAGATAACGAGTAACGTGCAGAACTTCATCTTTAAAAAACAACAACATTACAGTAGTCAAATGATTCTATGATAAAAAATGTCAGAATATACAACACAACAAGTAATGCACAGGTCTTCATCTTCAAAATCAAATATTTTTGGTACAGTAAAATAATTCAATGATCAATAAAAGTAATAGATGATTTATGAAATGTTACACTTAACTCCCAGGTCTTAACACGTGAAATTAAAAAATTCCAAACTTACTTTTTTTAAATTGTATTTTCGACGTAATATTCATTGAAATAATTATATTAGATAAAATATTTTTTGTAATCAAAATAATATTAATCCAATTAAAAGAATACTTAGGATAAATAAAGAATATATATCATGTCTTATATCTTTTTCGTCAAACTTGATTATGATTTATTTAAGACCGGTGCGGGGGGGGGGTATTTGTAACAAAAACAAAGAATTATTGAAAGTCCTACAAATACAGCGTTTTTTTTAAAATGTCCTATTTACATATGAAAATATCATATCCTTTTCAGGGATAAATTTTCATTTTCAAAATGACCACATAAAGACATTACAATAGCTTTCCTTCTCTTATGTTCTGCAGAAGTAGATAACCGTTACCCTTCAGGTTGATAATGATGCAATTCGATTTGTGGAAAATGTTATTTTCCGTACAGATCATAAATTTGAATCCAAATGAACTTCTTTGGTTTAGTTTGAATTAAGAAATAAAGTATAAACTTTTAAAAGACTTACCTTCAAACTTGGCTATAAACTTCGGTGTTTTGGAAGTGTAGCGTCACAGTTGTTCCTTTGTCCAGCATGTTATCAGTGTCCTCTTTATATTAATCATACGTACATTTCATTGGATCTCAGGATAATGATAAACTGACGTGTAACTTTATAATATTCCCTCAGGGGAGATGATGCCATATGCCAATTTTAAAATTATAAGTATTTTGCAGGTGTTAAACACTGGAATTATTTTAGGAGAGAAAGGTATGAGGATATAATTGATGCAAAGAAAAGAGAGAGCCTACATTGACATGTTTAAGAACTAAAATAGATCAAATGCTGTCTAACCCCCTTGTTTTCACTGGTTTGCAACGATAACATTAGTAGAATTACAATAGTCACTTTGTTTTTAGAATTATTCCAATATAAAAATACTAAATTAAAACTGTTAATCTGATAAATATGAAAGGTTTCCACATTAATAAAATTTCATCACCTGCAGACAGTATCCCTCACTGCTCAATGACACTGAGAGCCCAGTATGAGTCAAAATTTTAAATTTAAGTCATGGGGGTCAATGTTCATTTATGAGGAAAATTTGGCCTGTTCTTGGGGACGTAATTTCGTGGGTTAGTGGTAAAACAATGGTTGAATGAATCAATGAAGGATAAGGAGATAACAAACAGTATTCAGTCTCAAAGTCCATAGAACTACAAAATAAGAGCAGAGCAAACAGGGACTCCCAAAACATCAGAGGTGGGATCAGGTGCTATGGAGGAGTGAGCATCCTCTGCCGACCGGTCACACCCGCCGTGTATATTAACAAAATAAACGTTCGTGAGAATATATTCGTGGGTAAGGGTGACTCACAAAATCCACGAACACTGCCCCCCCCCCCCCTCCACGAACAATGATGATTCTACAGTAGCTGCAGACCTGTAGCGTAATGGTGTTATATATTAGTCTTTGACCATAACGCTACAGATCCCTTAATGCAAAAAAGGTGCATTTTTTTCGCGCACTTCTGGGGAGAACTTCTCCACTTTCCAGCAACGGTAAATTTACACATTTCACTCCCTAATTCTAGGCACATTATTTAACTAATCTGTATATTTTATCCATCACCAACCCCTTAATAGTCGTCTGTTGCAACCACTATTGAAATAACGACCACTATTGAAATAATTATATCAATAATGGTTGAGAGTGCATTTCAATAGCAAACATAGTTAGTAACCACTATTGAAATACGACCACTATTGAAATAATTATATCAATAGTGGTTGAGAGTGCATATCAATAGCAAATACAATTAGTAACCACTATTGAAATACGACCACTATTGAAAGAATTATACAAATAGTGGTTGAGAGTGCATTTCAATAGCAAACATAGTTAGTAACCACTATTGAAATACGACCACTACTGAAATAATTATATCAATAGTGGTTGAAAAAGTATTTCAATAACAAACATAGGTAATAACCACTATTGAAACACGACCACTATTGAAAGAATTATTTCAATAGTGGGTGAGATTCATTTCAAATATTGACAATATATTTCTTCATTTCACTAGCATAATGCTCAAGTATTGAAAGAAAAGTTTCACCGAGTACTTTATAAATTTTTATCCAAAATTTCACAAAAATTGGATTTGGGGTGATAAAATATAGATTAATAATTAAAGTGTATAAATTAATAAGGATGGTTTTAGTGAGGCAAAATTTTGAACAACTCAGAAGGTTTACAATTTCTTTATATTCTAGAAATTTATCATTTACATCATTTTCAATGAAATCATACCAAAAGATTTATACCAATCCAGAAATCCATATTTTGTTTGTATCATCTTTCCTTAATTGAAGATCTAGAAGTTATTGAAATTATTATTTCAAAATTAAAGTGATTTAAATAATTATTTTGATAGTTGCTGATAATACTTCATACCTAAAACCATAATTTAATCCACATTGAAATCTTTATTTCAAAAGTGAACATTATTTCAATACTGGTTGAAACCTATGTTTGTTATTGAAATGAATCTCACCCACTATTGAATAATTATTTCAATAGTGGTCGTATTTCAATAGTGGTTATTACCTATGTTTTTTATTGAAATACTTTCTAAACCACTATTGAAATACGACCACTACTGTATAATTATATCAATAGTGGTTGTATTTCAATAGTGGTTACTAACTACGTTTGCTATTGAAATGCACTCTCAACCACTATTGATATAATTATTTCAATAGTGGTCGTTATTTCAATAGTGGTTACTAACTATGTTTGCTATTGAAATGCACTCTCAACCACTATTGATATAATTATTTCAATAGTGGTCATTATTTCAATAGTGGTTGCAACAGTCGTCTCTACACTTGATAAACTTGCTTGATTAAAATTATTTGTTAGATTGCTGAAAATTCACATCAAGCGAGTTTATTGCCTGTAGAGACGACTATAAATGGCTGGGAGGTGGATAAAATATACATACTGGCTACAGAATGTGTCTAAAATTAGGGAGTGAAAGGTAGTTGATTGACCAATGCTAGAAAGTGGAGAAATTCTGCCCAAACGTGCGCAAAAAATATTGCGCCGTAAATTGCACCTTTTTTGCATTAAGGGATCTGTAACGTTATGGTCAAAGACAAATATATAAAACCACAACTCTACAGATCTGCAGCTAATTCTACAGATGTCATCCATTGCATCCTATGTAGCCTGTGCAAAGAAACACGAAAAACAAGTGGGGGTCGTTTCACACACAAAAATGTATCAAGTTTTATACTCATCCTCTGTAAACTTTTATATAACATCATCTGTATTATCTGGCTGTTTACAATATAAGTAAATGATAACCCAAACTTTATATTGAATGAGATATAAACCCCCATAAATGAAAACAAAAAGAAAAAGAAATAGGGTAAATACTTTTTGATCAGTTTTTATAGTTCCTTTTTCAGTCTAGAAAAATTAAATAACCAATATATTTAGAAAAAAAAATATTTTCCCCATTGTTTTTATATTTATTTCTTTAAAAAAATAAGGATCATGTTATCTTTAATTTCAACATATATCTATGATATATAATTCAAAGAGTCCTACGCGCACTTGGTGTGATTTACAGGAGGGTCCCCGTGGATCTTTACCCTGAAATGTTTCAATGTAAATGGTCGCTTAAAAATCTTCCTGACAATGTTTACTTTCTTACTTAAATCATTTAGGAAGCAAATCTTCGAAAACCTAAACCTCTAAAGATAAAACTAAAGGTTGATAGAAAAAAATCTGAGGCGGCTAAGATCTTTATTTTAATATTTGAAATTTTAATTCAAATTGAATGACCCTTTTGATTTTGCCTCCAGATTGTTTGCTTGTGATTTTTCTTGCAGAAGGTCTAACTATAAAGTTTAAAATCATTGTTTTTATATTCCGTTGACATATGTGAAAGCCTGCCATATTGATGATATATTTAATCATAATACAGAGAAATAAGCATGCACGTAAGGGATGCATTGAACATTTAATTAACACCAAAATATGCACGAGAATGACATTTCAAAACTAACGTGTTCATTTATCATTCTCTTACACGAAACATAGTTTCAGTGTTATGCATGAAATTGACATTTAAAATATAACGTGTTTAAATTTATCATTTTTTTTTTAAATTATTATTTTTACAAATTTAGACCTTAACTTTGCCGTACATGTACAAACCTGGTGTATTTTGACTGACATTATTCGTTAGGTTTTTATTTTTTATTTCTTAAATCTGATAAGAATTCGTAACTAAAACATAGGACAGGCATTGAGTGTGTACGGTCGACAGAGAATTCATACACTTCCTGGGCATTCGATCCCACCACAGTGTTTGTAGGGTGTCAATGTTTTCCCTGGAATTTTATTTTCAGCATATAATTTTAGCGATTTTTAAATCTCACTAAAGAAGCTATTACAAATAAAGCGCAATTATTTTTTTTAGGGATATTCTATTTAGCAATCTTGACACTCTCGCTAATAATGCCAAAATTCCTAGCTTAAAATTTTGCTTATACAGTAATTAAATCAAATATATAGAATCCTTTTATACAATACCTGGAGTTATTAAACAGACAAAACATTTTTTATTTTGGTTTTATCATACTGTTTCTGTAGTAAAATTTGAACACGCAAATTCTCTTTGGTCATCAACAAAATTTTTGTTTAAAAAAAACCCCCACTCCAATTCTACACGATGGCACTCAGAAGCTGATATTTAAAGGGACGATGAAGTTCTTTATTAAGATGTAGGCTTCAGTGGCCAGGTCTTTAAAGAAGATTTTGGAATTTTGATTGGCAGCGAAGGTAACGAATATAAAATCTCTCAACTCTTACAGAATTTTGTTAATGTTCAGACACCGAAACATTGAACATATGTTTGCCAAAGGATTTTAGAAACATGAATTATATGATATATTATGTACATGCTAAATATAAATCTGATAAATAGTCAAGCTTATTCCCAGTGTTTTTGATAAAAAATATTCTTGAAAATTGATAGAAAATCGTGTAAAATAAAAAAGTCAGAAAATACTATGATCCTTGTGAAAACTATTAATTTAAATCATTCTTATTTATGCAGAGAATACCAGGGGTCAAGGGGGTTTAATTCTAGCTAATCATTTAATATACACTAATTGGCATTTTGGGTTTGATAATATAATAATAATAATAACATTTGTATAGCGCCCTATTTAAAATAATTTACTCTAAGGCGCTGAACAGACGCTATTTCAGATATACAAGTAGTTAGAATACAACACAATAATCATAAAAACATGAAACCTTAAATCATTCTAAGAAATCGTAACTAACATAAGAGTAAGCTAAAATTATAAGCTGCTAGACTAAGATCAAATTGAGATCAACTTAAAAATTTCACACAACATGTTGTGCCCAAAATAAATAGTCTGAGGACAATAAAACTCGATAACTTGTTCAAAATAAAAAAACTACACGTCGTATGCTATCTTAAAAAGATGAGTCTTAAGATCTCGTTTAAAAGCTAAAAGTGACGTCTGGAACCTTGAT